CCTCTCCCCCCCTCCTGGGCGCCCCCTTTGCCCCGCCCACCCTGCGTGACGATGCCCCCCAGCAGCAGCGGGTCCCGCGTGAGCACGAGCGTCGTGAAGATGCGCGCGGCGTTGCCCGCCACGTTGAGGCCGCACGACATCACGCTCAGCATGCCCGCGTTGCCGCGGCGCCAGTTGAGCACGATCTGCGGCAGCCGGCTGCCCAGGGCCATGGTGATTATGGTGGACGCCTGCAGCGTCGACAGCACGCCGCGAGGGCAGGCCGGGGACAGCAGCCATGCGGAGGCGGCGGCCAGCGCGCCGAACAGCGCGGCCACGGCCCAGGCGGGGGCGGCGCTGAACCTCAAGATGAGGGCGATGAGGGCCACGTCCTGCACCCAGCACGCCACCACCTCGCCAAACGTGTTGAACGCGTAGCCCTGGGGATGAAGGGGGAGAAGGGGGCGGAAGGGTGTGGGAGTGTGGGGATGGGGGTTGTTTTGCTGTTGGTGCAAAGTCTGGGCGTGCACACCTGGAGGGATACCTTGCGTTCCTTGTGCTTTGGTCGGCGCTACTACAACGCAGAGCTGGGACCCCAAACCCATGCTTGTTTTCCTCGTTGAAGTATGGTGCATTTGCAGGCCGGCGCGCGGCGAGGACGCAGCGCCGCGCGCCGGCTCGGTTGTCGGCCAACGCCAGCGAAATAGTTTTGCGGAAGGTGCCCCCAACTCCCAGGACGCATCCATGCCTGGTGCCTCTACCACGCCAGGTGATGTCACGCGCACACACCTGTGAGATGTTGTAGGCCACCACCACTGAGTAGCACAGCAGCTCCACCACCACGCTCGTCAGGCTCAGGCCCTAAATATGGATTGTTTTCGGGGGGGGGGGGACACAGGGGAAGCAAGGGGACGAGGTGGCTTTTAGTCGGGGCTGTGATCAGGGGTCGTTGAAAGGCAGCCTGCGGCAACGAGGTGCATGCAGATAGGCCATCGTAGGTTGCACGGCGCCCGGGGGCCCGTGGCGCAGCGCAGACCGCCTTGAGCTGCCCCCAGCCACCGGCCCCCACAGCATCCCCGCGCCCCCCCTCCCGCCGATCCACCGGCCGATGCACGACGGCCCCCAGACCGTGACTCTTTTGCTTGCGACTCACCTCGCAGCTGCGGGCTCTGATGACCTTGGCTATCTGGGGGGCGCTGCGGAACAGGCTGCCAATAAGAACTGCATAGCCCAGGACCACTGCAACGAGCTCAGACAGGCCGCCACCAACCGCCGTCCCCACCACCGACGCCGCAGCCGCTGCGACTGTCGGAGCGGGCGGCACAGCAGCAAGTGCGGCCGCCGCGGCCGCGCGTGGTGCGGCGGGGCCAGTGCGACGGCGGGGCCGGCGGGGCACGGCGGCTGGGGAAGCGCTGGGACAGGCCACCAGCACGCGGCCGTTCGGCCGTGTTCGGGCGCTGCTCAGCGTCGTCAGCTGCATCAGCGCATGCCGGGATGACTGTGGTGCTGCCCGGCCTGGCGCACCGCACACACGCGGCGCAGCGCTGCATGCGCCATGCGGCGCCATGGTCTGCACAAACTGCATTCGACCCTGTCCAGCAGGAGCGCCGCGTGACGCTCCACCCCTTACGTGGACACCCAAGTAGCAATTCACGGCTTTCTTTCACGTAGCTGCTGCCACTCCGCGAAGTAACGCCTCGCGCGGGTTGGCCAAAGGAGCAGCTGGTGGACGCGTCCCCGATCGCAGTGGTTGTTTTAGGGCGAGGTGTGCGCCGTGAAAGGTGAGGCTCTGAGCCTGGTATCAACACAGGCTGGCATGGAAATGGTCACTTGCGCACAAGTTGTTGTTGCGTGCTGGATAGGGGGCAACTAGATTTTCGATCGTCAGGCTTACAAATTCTCTGCCAACAGGCGAATCATCAGCACGAGATCTACTCTACTGCACACTTTGGCGCGCAGGTGATAGCAAGGAACCCGGCCACTTGTGGCGCATGCGGTCTGTACAATGGCGCGCCCTACTTGAAGCGCTAGTGCTGGGCCGGATTGGTGGGCCCGCACATCCTGGAGCGGCTGGTGACGCCCTTGCGGTGCTGCTGTCGCCGCATCGACCAAGGGTGGTGGCAGCATCGCCGGCGCGGTTGTGGCCGGGTGGGCCCCTCACCTGCGGCTTGACACCCAGGAAAGCATCATCATCATCTGCAGCATGTAGTGCTTGGCATCCAGAATCCGATGACGGTAGTGGCCGCCGCGAAACTCGTTCTGACAAAGGCAGAGAGCTCAGCAGCACTGCCGGTGGCAGCGACGGCAACGTCAGCAGCGGCAGCGGCGACAGCAGTAACAGCAACAGAAGCAGTAGCAGCAGCAGCAGCAGCAGCAGCAGCAGCAGCAGCAGCAGCAGCAGCAGCAGCAGCAGCAGCAGCAGCAGCAGCAGCAGGAGCAGTGGCAAGGTCGGCAAGGGCGGCAAAAGCAGTAAGAGCAACAAGAAGAGCAAGTGGAGCGGCGGGAGCAGCAGCACAACCGGCAGCAAAAGCGGCAGCAGCAGTGACACGGCCTGGGACGAGGCTGCTGAGCTGACGGACCTGCGTAACCCAAGCCTGTGGTACCCCGTGGCGCGAAGCAGTGAGTGGCTCGCGGGGCGCGGCGTGTGCGCCGTGCTTGCCCGGCGCTGGTGGTGGGGACAAGGTTTGGTAGGGGTCGCTGCATCGCAGGGGCCACAGGGGCAGCTGCGTGGGGCGTATGCTCAACCAAAACTCCAGCCGGCGGCGATTTGGAGCGCCCACAAAAACCAGTATGTCCCGCAGCACGTGGCCGGTCTCGGCCTGCAGGCCAACTTCTGATGCCGGCCCCCCTCTTGTGCCAAATCTCCCTCACCAATTTTGAAAGCTCCCCCTCCCCCTGCCTCGGCGCCCCCAAACCCTCCGCCCTGCACAGTCAAGCGCCGCCTTGTCGCGCACGTCGGCCCCACCAACAGCGGAAAGACCCACGAGGCACTCGCGGTGGGCTTTGGGGGGGGGGTGATGGTGTTTGTGTGTGTGTGTGTGTGTGTGTGTGAGTGCAATGGGGCCTGCGTGGCACCAGTCACCATGCAGGCTGCACACCGGAAGCTGCGCAGCCAGCAAGGGCTCCTGCTTGGCTGTTTCCGGCTCTGGAATGTGAACCAGACGGTGTGCCAAGGCGCGGCGGCGTCCTTGGCGGCCGCGGCTGGCTGGCAGCGCCTGCGGCGGGCAGTGCTGGCCGCTGCATCGCGGCTTCGTGCTTGTTGAGACTCTGAAGCCGCGCCCCGCACGCGCGCCGCGCCACCCAGGCGCTCAAGGCGGCGCGGTCTGGCGTGTACTGCGGTCCCCTGAGGCTGCTGGCCTGCGAGGTGGGCGGGGTCCATCATGGCAGGGGCGGCGGCCGCAGCGGCTGGGCGGCGGGGCAGCAGGAAGCAGGCGGCTTGGTGGGCGGCGGGAACGCGAGATTGGGGGTCTGGCGTCGCTCGGGCGGAAAGGAGGGCCGCCCGTCGCCGCCGGGCGGCTGGGGCCGCAGGGGCGGTGGAGGTCGACGGCAAATCCCCGCATCTCTCCTCCATCACAAACCCTGGGTGTGCGCGTCCTTCCTGCCCAGATACGACC